GTGAGATCGAAGTGGAACGCAGAGCCTCCCACCGGGAAATCGGTTTCGGTTTCGGGTTCGTGTCGTGCGTGCGGGCGAGGCGAAGCTGCGCGGGCGGGCGAGAGGAATGACTCCGCTGTTGCTAGGGCGGGGCAAGGCAATTGTCCGAACCTTCCCCGGTTGGCGGGCGGTGGCCGGGTTGTCCCGCCTTGGTGTCCCGTCGGTGTCCCGTCGGTTTCCCGTCGGTGTCCCGTTGTTGTCCCGTCGCTGTCCCGTCGCTTTCCCATCGGTGTCCCGTCGGTGTCCCGTTGGTCTACCGTCGGTGTCCCGTTGGTCTACCGTCGGTGTCCCGTCGGTGATCCGTTGCAGCGCTAGACTAGCTAGCGGCCACGGACCGCCAGGCTTTGCCAGCGATAGTGAGATTGATAGTGGGATCGATCGTGACATAGACCGTGAGGTCGATAGTGAGATCGATTGGACAGATCGATCGTGAGATTGATCGATGGTGAGGTCGATTGAGTGGGGCCGATAGTGAGATCGAAAGTGCGATCGTTATAGAGATCATCTCGACGCAGTATCGTCAGCACGCGTCGTCGCCAACTCGCATCACCAGCATCGCGATCATCACAACCATCGCAGTTGCCATCAGTTGGTTCTCTCCCCCCCAACCTCTTCTTTTTCCAAAGAGTGGTCGTATAGGTATTACCTTTCGGTTTACACGTATGTTAGCTTTTCGATGTGCATCCTGGTTTGTATTTTGATGCCCATTTTGATGTGCATGTAGATTTACATGTTGGTTTGCATATCGATGGCAGTTTTATTCGCACTTTGATCCGCAGTTCGATTTGCATATCGAGTGCTGGTCGATCCACGCTTTCACATGCATTGCGGCATGGCGATTTGCAGTTTGTATTTGCAGTCCGATCATTATTTTGATTTGCACGCCGATGGCAATTCGATCTTAGTTCCGGCTTGATAGTCGGCCTTTATCTCGGCTCGAATGTTGATTGCAAGCTGAGTTGCACCTCGAATTTGATTCCGACTTGCATTCCGAATGCCATTGGATTTGAATTTAGAACCGCATCTCTCACGGGACAATTGGCGCGACAACCACGTGACAACCCCCGAGGCAACCCGCGGGCGGAACAACCCCTGTGACACGCACAGAACTACCCACGGGACAATCCACGGGGCAGCCGCGGGACAACCCACGGGACAACCGCGGGACGACCCACGGGACAACCGCGGGACAGCCTCGGCGAGGAACCGCGCAGCCCGAGGGAGTCTTTGGTGCACGACCTTGCCCCAGCTGCGGCGGCACACCGCCGCCCTGGCGCAGCCTCGCCTCGCCCGCACGCGCGGACGCGAACCGACGCCGAGACCGCCCTCCCGCCTCGGGCCACCTCGTTCTCGCCCCGCAGCTTCCGACAGGGTCGCATGCGCGCGGGTTGCTGTATCGCTGCGGCTGCCACTGTCGATGCTCCACAGGCGCGCAGGTAATAACAATCCCCAGAGGACCACTTCTCCAGCGTGGGGCAGGTCGCCTATGCGAGCATCAGCGCTGGCGGGAAGGGTGGCCAGGCCATGATGATGAAGGGTGGCCTTGGCATGGGCATGAACGGCATGGGCGGCGTCATGGGCATGAAGGGCCAAATGATGATGATGATGAAGGGCATGATGATGATGAAGGGCAAGGGCAAGAGCCAGGCCTGGTGAGCTGGCCTGGCCGTTGAGAGTGATAGCTTTAATATGGCCTGTAAGGAAGACTTCCACAGGTACCTGCGACCGTATGGAAGCTATTGCAACAAAAGGCGCTGTACTTGCCCTCTCCACGTTGGTCTTACTCGTGTTGTGTAGGTTTTCCATTGACTTCGGTGCCGTGCCGTGTTTGCACCCACCAGTCGTTGTCATACCAGTTCCAATCCTGATTGTCATCTCAGCACGCCGCTTTGTATGGCTCGCGCGTTTGCTATTGACCTAGCATCGGACGCACGGGCCTGGCAGCAGTGCTTCGAGAAGGGGGGACGGGCAAGGGCTGCCAATTTAGGCTAGGTCGGTTCAGCGCCCTGGGCTGACGTGCTGGGGGAAGCTTTGCCTGGCGGAATCTTGTCATGAACGGCTTCTCCCCCTTCCCTTCTCTCTTTTCTCTCTTCTCCCGCCATCCCCCTTGCCCGCTCCCCTCACCAGGTTTGGGAGTCTTTTTCTAACGCCACACGGTAGCTTTAACATGAGAAGAAAGACAAGCGAATGTTATTGTCAAGCGCGAAGTTTCTTCCGTGGGTGTTCGTACTGCATGTCCCCCGCGAGCACTGTTGACGTTTATTGCTGCGTTCTGCCAGTGTCACATCGTCGAGCCCAACGCCCACACGGCGCGTTCCAGAAAGGACTTCGCCTTCGGCGCATGTCGCCTTGCGCGGAAGCCCGCGGAAGGCCGGCAGAAGCCGGCGGAAGTAGATTGGCGGCGGCTCTGCCTGTAGAAGCCAGCGGAAGGCGGCGGAAGTTCGACCAAACACCAAACGACACCACCCCACCTGCGGTTTCCATGTTGCGCTACGGCCCATCGGGGGCCGTAGAGCTTATATCACGCGAACACCCAAGCCAGAATTCGTCGTATGTGCTAAGGCCAGTGGTCCAGAAGGCAAAGCGAGACGCCGACACTTTGGGGCCCAGGGCTGCCAGAGTCAGCCACTGCAGCTCGGCATGGCCGCGCATGTTGGCGTTGGGAGCAACCAGTGATCGGAGGAGGGCCATTGGAGACATCGGCGGCCCCCCCACCCTGCCTACGGTAGTTTCGCGTCGTGTCGACCGGCCGCGACCCCGCCGCGGGCGTTCAAGGTTGAACGCCGCCAGTGGCCCAGAATCGGCCTACATGGAACGGTCGGGTGATCGGAAAGCCGCCGATCGTTCAGGGTTGAACGATCGACGCGGTGTCAGAAACCAGCGCCAGGGTCGTCACGACATGAGCCTGCCGTACATCCGCTCCAAATGGGCCCCTTGGACCCGTCCAGGGGTCCATCTTGATGCGTTTTTTTTTGTGTGTGTGGGGGACGCGTATCCAGCCGTGGCGACGAGACGCCTCGGGGAGGCTCCCAAATGGCGAAGAACGCCACGGAGGCCCGCCGTCGTCCCCATTGTCTTGTTCCGAAGTTCAATGGGCCCCTTCTCTTCGGAAGCACATCGTGGGAGCCCTGTATACTTGCGCAGTTCCGCCTTTGGGGTACGATGGCGTCGATTAGCGTCTAGCATGCGTCGATTAGCGTCTGGTGAGCTTCGATCAGCGTCGATGTAGCGCCGGTTGGCGCCGATGAGCGTCGGTTAGCGTCGATTCGCAAGAGCCAACAAGGTATATTAGGAGGCTCCCACCTGGTGGAGGAGGATGAGGATGAGGATGAGGATGAGGATGAGGATGATGCTGATGATGATGATGATGATGATGCTGATGATGATGATGATGATGATGATGATGATGAGCAGGAGAGGGGGAGGAGGAGGAGGAGGAGGAAAAAGACAAGGAGGATGAGGAGGAGGAGGACCATTGTAAACCCAAGAGGCATCAACGATGTTGGAATAAACCCTCCCTCCAAGCTCCCTCATCATAGGCCCATACAACGGTCCATTTTGAATCAAGGAATTGCCTTGTTGGAAGACAATTGTTTGACGACCCCGAAGCATGCCAAAACATTGTTCTCGGGATTCCAACGCCACGGATCAACCTGACTGTTGCGTCTTGACGATCCTGAATCGTGCCAGAACGCCATTCCTGTGACTTGAACACCGCAAATCCTCATAATTTGTGCACCCTCGTAAGCCTGAATCCTTCCAAATCACCATTTCTGGTACCTTGATCATGGGAATCCGTGAAACGCTTGCAAATATGTAAGACGAATGCGCGCGGCGCCAAGGCGAGAGCCATTTCGAAAAAGAACCGTCCTCAATCCGTGAAGCTCTTGCAAATCTTAATTGCGAATGTGCGCCGCGTCAAGGCGAGAGCCACATTTTGAAAACGACTCGCCCTCAATCCGTGAAACCCTTAATTTGTTAAGACGCATGTGCGCGGCGCTACGGCGATATCCACATTTTGAAAGCCACTCGCCCTCAATCCGTGAAGCTTTTGCAAATCATAACAACGAACGTGCGCGGCGCCAAGGCGAGAGCCACATTTTGAAAAGGAACCGTCCTCAATCCGTGAAGCTCTTGCAAATCTTAATGGCGAATGTGCACCGCGCGACGGCGAGAGCCACATTTTGAAAACGACCAGCCCTCAATCCGTGAAGCTCTTGCAATCTTTTAAGACGCATGTGCGCGGCGCTACGGCGATCTCCACATTTTGAAAACCACTCGCCCTCAATCCGTGAAGCTCTTGCAAATAAAAAACGAGCGTGCGCTGCGCGAAGGCGAGAGCCACATTTTGAAAACGACTCGCCCTCAATCCGTGAAACCCTTGCAAATGTTTAAGACGAGTGTGCGCGGCGCTAAGGCGATATCCACATTTTGAAACCCACTCGCCATAAATCCGTGAAGCTCTTGCAATTTTTTAGACGAATGTGCGCGGCGCTAAGGCGAGAGCCACATTTTGAAAACGACTGGCCCTCGATCTGAGAAGCTGCTGCCAATTTTTAAGCTGAGGAGTCATACATGGTGAGGGAAGTCTCAGGCAGGGAGTCTCAGGCGAACGCCCGACCTGCTCCTACAAACTTGCCCTTGGGTGCGTCAGGAGAAGTTTATCTATAAGAGTAGAAGGAATGGAGGAGGAGAGGCGGAGGAGGAAGAGGAGGAAGAGGAGGAACAGGAGGAGAGGAGGAGGAGGAGGAGGGAGGAGGAGGAGGAGGAGGAGGAGGAGGAGGAGGAGGAGGAGGAGGAGGAGGAGGAGGAGGAGGAGGAGAAGGAGGAGGAGGAGGAGGAGGAGAAGGTGGGGCTGAATAGCCCTTCTCTCCTCTCTCCTCTGTCCTCACCCTCGCCATCCCCTACTCTCCCCTCCTTCCTCTACCCTCTCTCCCCTCGCCCTTGCCCTCTCCGCGCTTCTCCGCCGCCGAGTCGTTGACCAAGGCGGGGCGCTGCCGCGCCGACGGGAGGGCCGCGATGCTGCGCGCCCTGCCGCCGGCGGCGCCCCTGCCGCCGCCACCGCCGCCCGAGTCCCCGCAGGGGGGCCCGGCGCTGCTGCTCACCATGCACCCGCGGGTGGCGCTTCGAAGCCCCCCCTCTCTCGGGCGAGGCAGCTGTGCACGGAGGCCGGGCGCACGAGACCCACGCCCCCTCGCGCCGTGAAAAAGTCATGACGGGAGGGTTTTTGTCCATCTTCGGTCCCTTAAGGGCCCTCGACGGGTCGCGGCACCGTCAAAATACGACTCGGGATGAAAAACTGCTCGCGGGGAATGGGTCGAGACCTCTGGGCTCGACCTTGCGAACAAAGTCATGACGTCGGGGGTCTGGGGACGCGGCGGGCCTGGGCGAGAGCTGGGTGTGGCAGGTCCGTGTCGTGCTGACTTCGGCGCTGGTTCCGGACGCCGCGGGGCTCGTTCTGCCTTGAACGATCGGCCGTTTCCGAAACGTCCGATCGTTCAGCAGTGACCGATTCTGGGTCGCCAGTGGCGTCCAACGTTGAACGCTGGCGGCGGGGTCGCCGCCGGTCGGCACGGCGCGAACCGACCGTGCACGTGTGGCCAGATGTCTTCCTGGCGCTCGGCCCTCCTGTGGCCGTGCGTGCGGGGCTTCAGAGTTTCCACACACGGATCCATCCAAGCGTGTGTGGTCCAGCCTCTCTGGTGGTGCACCAGCGCCGATCCTCACCACCCGCCAGACCACCCAGACCCACCCCGAACGCCCCAATCTGCCCTCCATTCCCAGGGGCGGGGGGGAGGGGCGTCGGGGAACATGGACAAAAACACACATGGAGCCCACACCCCCGCCCAGCCCTGATTTTTGTGTCTTCGGGTTGGGTTGGGCTGGTCTGGTAGGTAGGCAGATCCTGGCCAGGTGCACCTTGGGCCCAGGGATCGGCGTGTTTTGGTTGTGTGTGTGTGTGTGTACACGCCCTCCCAACGTGGGACTGGCCTAAAGCCAGTGTCGGTGTGCAGCTGTGCAGCCGTCGTCGTCCTGCTCCTGCTCCTGCTTTTGCTCGCGCTGCTGATGCGCCCACCCCTCCTCCTCCTCCAATCCGCCATCTCCCTCCTCCTCCTCCTCCTCCTCTTCCTCCTTTGTTTCCTCCTTATCCTCCTCCTCTCCTCCTCGTGCACTTTCTCCTCCTCTCCTCGTCCCTCCTCCTCTTCCTCCTCCTCCTCCTCCACCATCTCCTCCTCTCCTCCGCGTCCTCGTCCTCCTTCTTTCTTTCTCCTGTGCTTCTCCTTCTCCTTGCCTCGCGTCATTGCTCCCGCAGTTCCGCTCATGAGTTTTTGACCACGACATCCCCATGGGCATGCCAGGGATCCTGATGCTGATCTTCAGCAGTCGGTGTCTTGTTAGCCTCCGCCACATGAGCGCGATAGTGCATAACCACATGTGGTAAGGCCCCCAGCTCCTACTTCACTGGAGTGTGATCGGTATGCACACGTCGTCGGGTATGGTTTCTCTTCTGTTCATTCTTCTTGTCATCATCATGATTTGTACAACTGTTATTGTTGTCTTGCTTCTGGCGGACTACTGGCAGCGGTGAAGGAACTTCCTCTCGAGGACCAGCTGAAGGCGAACGTCACAAATATGTTCACGGACTATGACAACTACGACAACGAGCAGAAGTCCGAGCTGGTGCTCTTCTGCAAGGTCGACCGCATGTACGAGAAGGAGAAGAGGAGGCTCACGATTCCGGTCCGCGAGCCACAGTTCAGGGTGTACCTGACGCAGGCGCTGAAGACGACCCCAGCGCAGTGGAAGTACGGGCGCGCACCAGCGACACACATGGAGAGGGAGCTACAGGAGTGGGTCGAGCAGCTACTGATGTGAATACCGACCGACTGGGACGAGAGGAGGCTGCAGCAATGAGCTCGAGTGATGTTTCCAAACCAGCTGCAGCAATGAGCTCGAGTGAAGGCTCCCAGCAAATGGTGGCACTACCTCCGACCGGCGATGTAAGCGAGGCGACGGATGAGAGCACTACCGAACACGTTTTTGTGGATAACTTCTCACCGACGGCTGGGGCTTCATCGACAGGCACGACAACTGCGAGGAGGCCTGCGCACCGTGAGTCCCACCAGGCTAGCCTCCCTCCTCCCGTCTCTGACCTTTTTGTGTGTGCGCGATGTTTTTAGCCACCCAAAACGTTTTCCCTGGTAGCCGAACGTTTGATACTTTAGTTTCGAACAAGCATGTTTTGTATCAAGCTAGAATGTGGTATCGATTTCAAACTTGATCGTCCCGCCTTTTGTTGCGATCCCCTCGACCTCTCTACGCGTCAGAGGTCGTGGGTCTCAGGCTGGGGCGCATTCGGGCCCGTCGGCTGCGAGACCACTACAGGAGGTGAGGGTTTTTAGGCCCGCCATCAAGCTGGGACATCGCTCCGATCTGACAGACAGATGCGAGTTGCACGTTCTTGTGACTAGCTTGTGATGCTTGAACCTCGGAGCTACTGATGTGAGAAGAAGAAGAAGTTATTTTGCTTATGGTTCTTCTTCTTCCTCCAGTCCCCCTTAACTTCTCCTTTCCTCTCCGCTCCCCCTCTCCCGGGGCCTTTCCGGCCCTGGGTCCTCCCGGGAATTCCCTGGTGTCTTCTCCTTCCCTCCTCGTCCACCTCCTCCACTTCCCTCCTCGTCCTCCTCCTCCTCCTCCTTTCCTCCTCGTCCTCCTCCTTCTCCTCCTCCTCCTCGTCGTCTTGGGCTTGGGTGGCGGCCCGTTTCTCGTGCAATTTATCATAGGGTGCACCCCGATCGTTGCAAGTATTGAGCTGTGTTCTGCGGTTGTTGCCCTTGACTTGTTGCTTAGCGCTGAGCAGAGCATGGAACGCAGAAGGCCTCCGTGGGGCCAAAGCTGCTGAGGGTATCATGAGCGCTTGCACGTGCAATGTCAAGGCTGACGGCGGATGTGAGGGGGTTCTATTCGGGAGCCGACCACTCGGGGTGGTATGAGACTTTGGACCCTTCCCGCTCCTCGCTGCCCCTGCTGCTGGCCCGCCTTCCCCCTGCTGGCATTGGCGTTCCTCTGTGTAGCTGGCTTCTCTACCCGTTGCATACCCAGTGAATTCCCCATGTTTGGGTTTCAGCGCACCACATGCAGCGGCGTCCGCACATCGTTCGATGACATACGCGGCTGGGGCGACGCCGCCTTTTTTGGAAGGCTGGTCTTGGCGAGGTGCTGCAAGGATGGTTATCAGCAGCAAGAGCGTGAGATCGGCCATGATGGTCTTCATGTTGCTGTCGCCCTGTGCCGACGGGGTCAAGGCGAGCTTGCACGGGACTTCGGATTCGGATTGTTACAATTCAATCGTCTTCAAGGGGCTTACGGCGTTCACGCTTTCCAGGAATTCGTCAATGCTGTGTATGAATGTGTTTTGTTTGATGCTTTCATTTCTTCATTATGTTGGGATTACTTGCTATGTGCCTGGCCTTTGTGCGCATGTGGCAGGTTTGGTCTAGCAGCTCATGCAATAAGTCTGCCCCACAATACGCATCATCATGTGATCTCCTGGTTCTGGTTGGCTCGAGGCGGACTGTGTCCAGCGCGCGCCTTGCGGGACCTGCACGCTAACCTGGTCCTCGTTGGGGAGGATTTCGCGCAGTCATCTTCGGCGATACGTTTCTATGCCTTACTGGTGCTGGCCTTCTACGGTTCCGGAGGCGGCTCAGCCGTCCACTCTGGCGCATGTTGCTCCAGTGATGCCACCATCTGGCTCATACCACCTCGCGCCTGCGCCTGGGACAGGAGCTTCGTCGCCTTGCCCTTCCCCGTTCCCTCCTCCCTTTCGGTTTGAGTGTGTGTGTGTTGTTCTCTTGGCAAGCGATTTGCCTGAGTGCAGCAACTGCCCGCCAGCTTCTCAGCGCCTTCCCGGAGTGGGCCCCCCGCCTTCTCGAGGCCCCCGCCCCTCCAGGAGCGTTCGAGCGGGCCCCGCGCCCCCCGCAGTCGAGGCGCCGCGGGGGCGCCAAGTGTGAGGAGGGCCTCCTGGGCGCTCCCCAGCGGATCGCAGAGCGTGCCGCGGGCTTGGAGCCGGCTGGGGGTCTGAGGTGTCCCGGCATAGATTCCGACCAGCAGGAAGGGCGGGCAGGTTCGAGGCTCTGGGCTCCGGGAGGGTTTTGTGCCCGCTTCGGCCTCTGGGGTCTGTTTTTCTGGCCCCTGGAGGGCGCCCGCCGCCGAGCATACATCGGCCACGCGCAGAGAACGGGCCCTTGGGGTGAAAAACTGCACCAGGTGGACCCTGGGAGAGGCCTGGGGACCGAATGTGAGCGGATTGGGGCCCACCCCCCCTCCTGAAAGATTCTCTGGGGTCCTGGCTAGTCTAGGCCCCCCTGCCGACTCCACTCCTTGCCCTCCGAGCTCCAGACGGTGGTGGCTGCGGCGGCTGCTGGCCGGCTCGACAGCCCCAACTCTGAGCCACGCGCGGGGAGGGGGGGCGGTACGGGGGAGGGGTCCGCGCCTTCTAAAAAGCAGGGGTGCTTCCAAGAAGCCCTCCCCCCTCCCCCGTACCCCCCCCCCTCCCCGCGCGTGGCTCAGAGTTGGGGCTGTCGAGCTGGCCAGCAGCCGCCGCAGCCACCACCGTCTGGAGCTCGGAGGGCAAGGAGTGGAGTCGGCCGGGGGGCCTGGACTAGCCAGGACCCCAGAGAATCTTTCAGGAGGGGGGGTGGGCCCCAATCCGCTCACATTCGGTCCCCAGGCCTCTCCCAGGGTCCACCTGGTGCAGTTTTTCACCCCAAGGGCCCGTTCTCTGCGTGGCCGATGTATGCTCGGTGGCGGGCGCTCTCTGGCAATGCCGCTCGGGTGACGACAAGCCGCAAGGCGTTTGTGCTACATGCTCGGCCCCGGCGTGCGCCCCTCAGGGGCGCGCGTAGCACTAGTCGTCGTCGTCGTCGCCGTCGTCGTCGTCGTCGTCGTCGTCGTCGTCGTCGTCGTCGTCGTCGTCGCCGTCGTCGTCGTCGTCGTCGTCGTCGTCGTCGTCCCACCAACCCTCGCGAGGCTTCCGCCGACAGCCCCGCCCAGGGGCCCACCGAAGGACAGGTCGAAGGCCTCTTCCCTAGAGATCCGACCTTCCGACAAAATTGGAATGGCGTTTTTTTCCCCGTTTTCGGCCTCGGGGGGCCCTCGTCAGGCCTCGGGACTTTTCCAAACACTACTCAGGACAACCCTGGGGAAGTAGTCCACACCTCCAGGGCCCGCGCATCCGAGAAAAAGGAGCGGCCGGATGTTTGGGTCCGCAGAGAGAAAGGCCGAATGCCTTTTCCAAGGCCACA